AGAATGAGAATGCTCCGTCTGTTCCAGTTGAAATAATAAACCAGGTCACGTTAATCGAACCACTGGTTTTATAACTACTGTTATTTGACGTGATATTCCACTGGTTTTATAACTAACGTCAAATAACAGAATCAGCTCACGAATCCTGTAACACGTTAATCGACACTGGTTTTATAACTATGCTGGCCCTAACTTTACTAGTATTCAATGATAGCCCTAACTTTACTAGTTATATTGCACAAGGACACACACCCCCCTATAATGTTTGGAACAAGTCTCACCTCACACGTGTGTTAAGCCATAAAGTTTGTTCTCAATATGCTCGCTCTCCTCTTCAATGTCAATTATCCATTGATCGTGTGGTGTAGAGAAGCTTCCCATGGTGAGTGTGATTTCCCTTTCCTCTTGTTGGAACTTTACGACTACTTGCATCAATCAATCTTCTTATTCCATCTGTCGAAACAACTTCCCATCATTCTGTATAATGGCTATTCAATGATAGCCCTAACTTTACTACTATTCAATGATAGTCCTAACTTTACTAGTATTCAGTGCTGGCCCTAACTTTACTAGTATTCAATGATAGCCCTAACTTTACTAGTATTCAATGCTGGCCCTAACTTTACTACTATTCAATGATAGCCCTAACTTTACTGGTATTCAATGCTGGCCCTAACTTTACTAGTATTCAATAGTAAAGTTAGGGCTATCATTGAATACTAGTAAAGTTAGAGCTATCATTGAATACTAGTAAAGTTAGGGCTATCATTGAATACTAGTAAAGTTAGAGCTATCATTGAATACTAGTAAAGTTAGGGCTATCATTGAATAGTAGTAAAGCAGAACATGAAGGAATAAAATACTTATCATTTATATTCTACCAACTAATCCTGCTGAACAATAGAAATTATTACAATACTATCTGTAGAACCCATTCTTTGTTGTTGAACGCTGGTTTTTGAGTTAACTGTGGATGGTTTCAAATGTGCATGCGTAGGACACTTTCATTGCTGGACTATAAAATCATTTCAAAATGCTGTTCGGATGGCTGAATATCGGTATACTCCATTGTGTGTTTACTGATCCTAGTTGGATATTCAGTTTTTGACCTTCGATTTCATTTGTATGTCTGCTGAAGCCTCCTGGCGGTGGAACCAATGTACTCAAGCTTGGAACTTGGACATGCATGGACCAAAGGAACTAACCCATATAACTAGCTCGCTTTCGAAAGATGAATTTTTCTTCATCATGGACAATTCTATCCCTATGGAGAGAACCAGTTTTTAGTCTGTGAAATATTTTCTTAATTTTATTTTTTATGTTACACGACTTTTTACCCACAGTTTTACTTCGTTAAAAGCCACAATCAGTCTTTAATCCCTAGTTGTTGTTAACCTCTTCACACAGTTATAGGGAAACACATTTCATTAATGTTATACAACTCGGTGTGAAACAGCTCATTAAGTTCACTCATTTTTAATCAGTTTTTTTGTAAATCAAAGGTATCAAACAGAACGTTGTACAGTATTGTAAAGGTGGGTATTGATAAGACGATGTCGTAAACACACCTTCCTTCACGGGTGCTGCACCTTAGAAAACCAGCGCTCGCACAGGATAGAACAGGCTGTACCTCTGAGACATAGAGAATTCTAAACCTTTCAAGTGCCTTCTCTCGACCTGAAGGTTGTCCGTTACGGTATCGTCAAGACTTGTTCATGAATCGTCGTCATGGGTAATGTGTGTTATCTTTTTAACTTGGTTTCTTGAATTTTGAAGTTTTTTATCTAGCACAAATATGTTTATTCGTAACGACGTGTTTTTATGTTGATTACTCATGATTAACCTCTTGTAATTCCCAGGACTTACAAGTTCGGTTTTAGTATTCATTACCGTGTGTGTGTGACGGGGTTCATCTACCTTACTTGTAATTCCCAGGACTTACAAGTTCGGGTTCAGTATTCATTACCGTGTGTGTGTGACGGGGTTCATCTACCTTACTTGTAATCCCCAGGACTTACAAGTTCTGTTACAGTATTCATTACCGTGTGTGTGACGGGGGTGGTCTACCTTACTTGTAATCTCCAGGACTTACAAGTTCTGTTTCAGTATTCATTACCGTGTGTGTGTGTGTGTGTGACGGGGGTGATCTACCTTACTTGTAATCTCCAGGACTTACAAGTGCTGTTTCAGTATTCATTACCGTGTATGTGACGGGGTTCATCTACCTTACTTGTCCTTCCTTTTAACTGTACGTTTCAGATGTTCAATTCTTCAATGTTTGTCTTAAACGTTGTCTGTTTTAGGATTATATAACAGTCATGTACTTTAGACTTTGTGTATCTCACTGTAGCTCCTATTTTGCATGTTGAAATTTTATAGATTTTCATCACGCACGTTTAATTTTTGTTATCATATTATATCCTTTTTTGTTGTGGTTCTTTTTTTTCACATTTATTTTGCTATTTTAATCCTAACGGAGTAGAATTCAATCATAATGTGGGCTGAACATAGTTAACTCCACCCACGCTGGAACATCTGTATGTGACAGCTTCTTACGTCACAACTACGCCTCCTCTCAATAACTTGTCTTGGTATTACTTATATAACGTTAAGAGCCGTTTTCTGTATCAATATATAACGTTAACAGCCGTTTACTGTATTACTGTATAACGTTAACAGCCGTTTACTATATTACTGTATAACGTTAACAGCCGTTTACTGTATTACTATATAACGTTAACAGCCGTTTACTGTATTAATATATAACGTTAACAGCCGTTTACTGTATAACGTTAACAGCCGTTTACTGTATTACTATATAACGTTAACAGCCGTTGTACTGTATTACTATATAACGTTAACAGCCGTTTACTATATTACTATATAACGTTAACAGCCGTTACTGTATTACTATATAACGTGAACAGCCGTTTACTGTATTACTGTATAACGTTAACAGCCGTTTACTGTATTACTATATAACGTTAACAGCCGTTTACTGTATTACTATATAACGTTAACAGCCGTTTACTGTATTACTGTATAACGTTAACCATCGTTTACTGTATTACTATATAACGTTAACAGCCGTTTACTGTATTACTATATAACGTTAACAGCCTTGTACTGTATTACTATATAACGTTAACCATCGTTTACTGTATTACTATATAACGTTAACAGCCGTTTACTGTATTACTATATAACGTTAACAGCCGTTTACTGTATTACTATATAACGTTAACTGCCGTTTACTGTATAACTGTATAACGTTAACAGCCGTTTACTGTATTAATATATAACGTTAACAGCCGTTTACTATATTACTATATAACGTTAACAGCCGTGTACTGTATTACTATATAACGTGAACAGCCGTGTACTGTATTAC